CACCCATTTCTGAATTTCTCCCTGGGAGGGCCCTAACTACATACTTTCACAGCTACTGCCTGGGCATCCAGCTTCTAATTAGCCTTCATCTAGTTGCTGACTGTGATCTTCCACTTTGAAAAGCATGACAAACATTGGCACAACCTCAACTACTGGGAGCCAGCCACTAAGAACAAAGAAGGCAGTTTGGACAATCACAAAAGTTTGAGAGACAACCAAGAGCTCAGGCCAGGCTGATTGGTAAGGTTCATCTCCCACACGAGATCACTCCGTCAACACTGGGATAGGTGGTTGTTTTACCTAGTGTGCAGAAATCAACACAGAGAGTCAAGGAAAATGAAGAAACAAGGAAATATGTTCCGAACAAAAAAGACAAAATAAAACTCCAGAAACAGACCTTAATGAAATAAAGATACATGATTTACTTGATAAAAAGTTCAAAATAACAGTCATAAAAGTACTCACTAAGGTCAGGAGAACAATGCATGAACAAAGTGAAAATTTCAACAGAGACAAAAAATATAAGAAAGTACCATACAGAAAGATCACAGAGCTAAAGAATACAATAACTGAACTGTAAACTTTCATAGAAGGGTACAAAAGCACATGAGATCAAATGGAAGGAAGAATCAGCAAACTCAAAGACATGGCAGTGAAAGTCATATAATCAGAGAAGTTAAAAAAAAAAAAAAGTTAAGATAGCTTAAGGACCTTATGGGACACCATAAAGTGGACTATAACTCACATAATAAGGGTCTCAGAAGGACAGGATAGAGAGAAAGTGGCAGCAAGACTGATGAAAGAAAATGGCTAAAAATTTTCCTAACCTCGAAGAAAAAAATAGACATCCAGAAAATTCCAAAAACGATGAATTCAAAAGGACACACACCAAGACACATTATAATTAAATTGTCTAAAGTTAAAAAGAATCTTTAAATCAGCATGAGATTTCAAGAGTTTCACACAAGAAAACCCTTGCAAGACCGTCAGCAGATTTTTCAGCAGAAATGGTGCACACCAGGAGGGAGTGGCACAATATATTCAAAGAGCAGAAAGACAAAAACTGCCAAACAAAAATAGAGTTAAGTCCTTCCTTAACATCACTGATGGGTTCTGGGACTTTAAGTAAAATGACATATAATGAAACAAATTTTGCCATAGGCTAACTGATATAAACAAGAGTTAAGTACCTGTGGTATCTCATCAACATAATGAAAACACAATGAACAAAGTTATTCAAGGACCTGCTGAATCTACCCAGGAAATTTATCCTTCAGAATGGAAGGAAAGATAGCTTTCCAGACAAGCAAAAGCTGAAGGAATTCATCAACATCATCACCACAACCTGATCTGCCTTACAAGACACTTTAAAGGAACTTCTTCAAGCTGAAACAAGAGAACACTAATTAGTAACAGGAAAACATATGAAAGTTTAAATTTCATTAGTCAAGACAAATAAATGGTGAAATTAAGAAAACTCTAATGTTGTTATAGAGGTGGATAAAAGAGTTAAAAGTAGTAAAAAATAACTACAAGGTTAAAAGGTAAAGTAATAAAAATAACTACAATGTGTTAATGAATCCATAAGGTAAAAAAGATGTAAGTTGTGACATCAGAAACAGTAATGTGGGAGAGAGTAAAAATGTAGAGCTTAAGTATACATTCAAAGTTAAATTGTTAATAGCTTAAAACACTGCTGTAAATAAGATGTTCCTTATAACCTTAAATGGGATTTTACCTTGATACTTCTGTTTCTCATGTTTATGTAAAATTAGTTTTCCTGAACTTTTATAAGAAAGTGGTGTTCAAGGTAGTTTTTCTAACTTTACAAAATTCAGTCTTCTGTTGTTTTCATATAATATTAAAAACAATGGTGCCCTGGACAGTATGGCTCAGCAGTTAAGAGTGTCGACACATGCACCAAAGGGTCGTGGGTTTGATTCCCAGACAAGGGCATGTACCTGGGTTGCAGGTTCCATCCCCAGCCCTGGTCAGGGCACATAAAAGAGAGGCAACCAATTAGTGTGTCTCTCTCACATTGATGGCTCCCCTACCTTCTCACTCTCCATCTCTCCTCCCTCTCTCCCTTCCACTCTCTCTAAAAAATCAGTCTGTGTGTGTGTGTGGGGGGGGGGGGGATATATATCCTCAGTTGAGAATTAACAAAAAAACAATGGTAGCTTCCATTATGAGATCTCCCAGCTGTTCCTCTGTCTATCCTTATCTGAACCTTCTCTTTTGTTCCTCTTAATTTTCCCTATTCTTCTTAATTTTAATGATACCATTCTATTCAATTTTGTTTCAACTCACTATAGTACCCTGTCCTGGTAGAGAACTCTAACAGGTCCATTTCAGGAATTCTTTGGAGCCAGACTGCTCTATTCTTTGCTGTCTTTACCCTGGACACACTGTACTTGCCTGATATTGGAGTGGGCAACCCCCACCTTCTCATTTCAGCTGCTGCTCTTAATATAGTCCACCACATTGTCTAGTAAATAGTTGAGGCTATTTTGGAGGTCTCCTGCATTTAAGTTCAATGAAACACCCTATATATACATACCCCTCCTACCCCCCTTACTCTTGTACTGATAGTAATACCATGGAGGTCTTTTAGCTATTAGTGGCCTGCCCTTACTTGCTTTTATTTCTGGATGTCTGAGGTTAGTTTATGATATGTTTCTAGATTTGCTATCTAGTTTCATTGTTTTTTTGTGTGGGTATCCCAAGTGAGTCAAGAAAACTATGACATGGCCATATTCAATTCCTAATGTTCCTCTCAAAGCCAAATCTGAAATTCAAACACAACAATTATGTTTTTATATTCATCATATACTTTTTTTTTTTTTTATCCTCACCCGAGGACATTTTTCCATTTTTTGCCCAGACAGAGTGGGAGGGAGAGAGAGGGAAAGAGAGAAACATCGATGTGAAAGGGACGCACAGAGTGGCCGCCACCCACATGACCAACCAGGTCTGGGGACAAACTGCGAGGCACGCGCCCCCAGCAGGAACCGAACCCGGGTCTCTTCGGACTGCAGGCCGACACTCTAACCGCTGAGCCAAACCAGCCAGGGCATCATCATATACTTTTTTTTTTTACATTTATTTCTAATTGTTTTTAAACCATCTCAGTGTAAGTCATTTTATTCACTTCTGAAACAAGGCAAAAAATATTCCAATTCCATGACTACAAAATGTGTTTTTTTTGTGTGTGTTTTAATCTTCACCCAAGGACATTTTTTTTTCTTTTATCTTTAGATAGAGTGGAGGGGAGAGAGGGAAGGAGAAAGAGAGAGAGAGAGAGAGTGAGAGAGACATCAATAAGAGAGACACATCAACTGGTCACCTCCAACACAAGCCCAACCAGGGCCAGGGACGAACCACAACTGAGGTATGTGCCTTTGGCCGGAATAAAACCCACGACTCTTTGAGCTGGTGCTCTAACCACTGAGCAAAACTGGCCAGGGCCAAAAAGTATATTTTAATAAATTATTTAAATCTTTCCTGGTCTTCAATACTTTTAAATGCTTCCTGATTCATCATTCAAGATAATTTACAAATTCTTACCCTTTGAAAAATTACTTTAACTCTACCTAAGCCTCTCTAGGTTCTGTTGGAGTCTTAGAATAAGACCACTAGAAACCTAAACAATCATTCAAACACAAGAACATAAATAGGAAGTGTCTTTAAAAATCTGAACATGACCTAAGTAGAAATTCCATGTTTATGTATTATAACTACCTTCCTTGATTACTGGAGTGTAGTATATACACAATAGGTTTTATCCCAGTCCACGAATCAGCAAACTACATACAGTCCATTGGCTCACTATATATCACTATATATGCTGTAAATCAAGTTTTACTAGAACACAGCCATAATTCATAATTCTCTTATGAATTATCTGTAGCTGCCTTCACACAACAGCAGAGGTAAATAGTTGCAACAGGTGTCATATATGGCTCAAAAGCCTAAAATATTTACTACCTGGCCCTTTACAGAAAAAGTTTGTCAACCACTGTCCTAACCTAGAGATTTTCCAAATGAGCTTCCATATGTGTACCTAGGGGTCCTATGGGTAATTCTGAGTAGGATGACTCTTTATTGTGTTGGGTGTCCAGCATACTGCAGAATGTTTACCATCCCCAACCCCTAGGATCTACAATACTACTAGTATTCCCAGTCCTCGTGTTAACTAAAATTCCCCACACATTTCCAAATACTCTTGGAGAGATAAGTACTCTCTCTGGCTGAGAACCACTGAGGAAGTAAATTGGCTCAGAGTAAAGGAGAAACTGCCCTGGCCAGTTTGCTCAGTAGTGAGAAGTGTTGGCTCGTGGACCAGAGAGGCCCGGGTTCACTTCTTCCTAAGGGCACGTACCTCGGTTACAGTTTTTCCCCGGCCCCGGTTGGGGTCGTGTGGGTGGCAACCACTCGATGTGTCTCTCTCACATGGATGTTTCTCTCTCTCTCTTCCTCCCCCTCTCCCTCCCGCTCTAGCTAAAGATAAATGCGAAGATGTCCTCAGGTGAGGATAAAAGAAAATAAAAAATAAAAAAGGAGAAGAAACTATAGTTCATGAACTCTAAATGCTACCAACAGATGAGAAATTGTTACCTTTTTCTCCCCCCCATTTTTTTTGTTCAGATAGAGTGGGAGGGAGGGAGAGAGAGAGAGAGAAAGAGAAATATCGTCATGAAAGGGACACATCAAGTGGCTGCCTTCCACAGGACCCAACCAGGGCCGGGGACAAACCGCAACCAAGGTACATGCCCTTAGCGGAAAATGAACCCGGGTCTCTCTGGACCACGGGCCAACGCTCTAACTGCTGAGCCAACCCGGCCAGGGCAGAAATTGTTACCTTTTAAGAGCAAACTGAAAGTGTCTTCTTCCCCTTTGACATTTAGCAAAAAATACACTAATATCTTAATAAAACTGGTCTTTATAATTTGGTTATTATATCAAGACAGTTTAAAAATAAATTTATAAGGCAATCTTACCGATTTGTTCCATCGAGATTTGATTTGTGAATAAAATTAAGTTTTGCATCTGCCCAATAAAGCTTCCGTTCCTCATAATCCAAAGTCAGTCCATTTGGCCAGTAAATTTCAGTGTTTATTATAATGAAGCGACTCGACCCATCCATTCCAGCACGTTCTATCTTTGGTACTTCTCCCCAGTCTGTCCAGTATATGAATCTAAAAATCACATAAACAATAAACCCATGACATAAACAGGTTAAGAGCAAAGTATTTCATAATTATCACTATTAGATAAAGAAAACTCAGGTACACTAAAATTAAAAACACTAGAAATTATCAAAATTTTAATAATCTACCTGGTAATAACTGGTTGAGGTAAGTATCATTATGCAAAAAAAATTTGATCAGTTTATTGGGAAAAAGGATATTTACACTATTTCGATGTATCTCCCCACAGATTACTTATTAATGACAGTGGGGAAAATGGTAACTTTAGAGAAAATAAGCTTGGTGGACACTACCTTAGCCACATCATTTAATTTAACATTGTTAACAAGGGAACAAACTGGCATCACATATGCGAAGCATTAGAAAAGATATACCATCTTTTTTTTTTTTTTTTTTTTTTTATCATCCTTACCCGAGGACATCCTTTCATTTTTTGTTCAGACAGAGCGGGAGGGAGAGAGAGGAAGAGAGAGAGAGAGAAACATCGATGTGAAAGGGACACATCGAGTGGTCGCCACCCGCACAACCAACCAGGGCCGGGGACAAACTGCAACAGAGGTACGTGCCCTTAGCGGAAACCAAACCCGGGTCCCTCCGGACCGTATATAGATCTGTTTTACAGTATTCCTGCCCAACAATGCATAACCTGAACAAACATATGAAGAAACAGAAAGAACCAAACTGAGGAATATTCTGAAAAACTGGCCTTTGAAAATATCAACATCATGAAAATCAAAGAAAGACTGAGGACCACTCAAGGAGATTAGAGGAAAATAAAGAAACATGGTAACTACATTAAGTGCATGATTCTAGACTAATCGGTTGGGAAAATGCTATAAAGATACTATTGGGAAACCTATCAAAATTTGATGGACTGTCAAATTATATTAAAAAAATGTACTAAAGTCAATTTCCTAAATATGATCACTATACTACTGATTAGAGTATATATAATTTCACTGTGCTTTTTTTTGCTTCTCAGTTGTGAAATTTTTTCAAAATAAAAAAATGGAAATCTTGCCCTGGCTGGTTTGGCTGAGCAGTTAGAGTCGGCCTGCGGTCCAGAGAGACGCGGGTTTGGTTCCCGCTAAGGGCATGTACTTTGGTTGCAGTTTGTCCCCGGCTCTGGTAGGTTGTGCAGGTGGCAACCACTCGATGTGTCCCTTTCACGTCAATGTTTCTCTCTCTCTCTCTCTTCCTCTCTCTCCCTCCCACTCTATCTGAACAAAAAAATGGAAAAATGTCCTCGGATGAGGATAAAAAAAAAAAAAAAAAAAAATGGAAATCTTAATAGTCTCATTTCAGAGAGGGAAAATTTTTTCCTTGAATTAAAGGTAAAGTTCTTAATGTTATATTTCAATTAAAAGCATTTTTTAAAAGTTAAATGAGATGCTATGAACTAGATATGAGGTACTCAATAAATATGTTTAAATGCACAGTGATACTGGAAGGATTCTATTCATGGATACTGATATTTCATATAAAGTGCTTACTCAAATGATGAAAAGAAAATATCAGGTAGGGAATAAACATACTTTCTAGTTACAAAGTACTGTGCTAACAGCTTTCCACGCATTAGCTCATTTAAGCCTTATAGCAACATTATGAAATATTATCTCCATTACCATTATTTCAAAATTTAAAAAACTCAGAAAAGTTAGCACAGTGCTCCAAGTTAAAGAGCTAATAAATGCAGAAGAGAAATTCAAATCTCCTCGGGTTCCAACACATGCCACAGATCAAAGCCATGATCTGTAAAGAACAGAAGGCAAAGTGCTCCCTAAATTAAGGATAATGATTGGATAATGTCCAAAATGAGGGGAAGAAGAATGATTAGATTCATGTAAAATAAAATGCAATTTTAGACTATGTTAGAATTACTGTTCTTTACTCTGAGAGCAATATAAAGGTACTGAAGAACTGAAGACTTGTAGGACTGGAGGTGAAATGACTAGCTTTGGGCGGGGGCTGGCTGGCTGCAGTGTGGAGGCTGGAAGAAAGCTAAGAAAATAGAAAGGCCAGGGCTCCCAAAATGACTCTGTGAGGAGCTTGGCAAATCGTCTCCTTTAAGACCAATGAAAAAACAGGAAAAGACTGTCAAAAAGAACTAATGTCTCTGAAAATTGATCAAAGGGCATATAACAAAATGAGAAGCATTTATTCAAGAAAATCTACCAAGCCCTGGTGGGTTTGGCTCAGCAGTTAGAGCACTGGCCCTTGAACTGAGGGTCGTGGGTTCAATTCCCAGTCAGGGGTACCTACTTGGGTTGCAGGTTCAATCCCCGGGCCCAGTCCAGGTCGTGCAGGAGGTAACCAATCACTGTGTCTCTCTCACATTGATATTTCTCTCTTTCTATCTCTCCCTCCCTCCCTTCTACCCTATCTAAAAATCAAAGGGAAAATATCCTCAGGTGAGGATTAGAAAAAAGAAAATCTACCAAATCACAGTAAGAAATGTGGTATTTCAGATAGAGGTTACTAATATCAGCATCCACAGTACTGATGAGTTTGTGGCACAGAAGTTCTACCCTGAGCAGACACAACAAGTCATAAAGCTTGGCAGCTAACTGGCCCTGAAAGAGGGAGCTGACTTTATTTGGAGTATTAATGAAAAAAATCTATGCCTAGGAATATTGTCAAAAACAAGAGTGCTCTCTCTCAGTGGCAAACAATCTCAGCCTGCAACACTCACTGGTTAGAAAAGGCAACAAAAGGCACACCAGACAGAAATTTAACAGGGAGATCCTTGGTGGTCAGGAAGGCTATTAAGTCTGCTCCCGCTCAGGATTCACTAGAGAGAACCAGTGAACACTAGTCTCTGGCTGGATGTGGAACAAACTAAACTTACTAAAATTTTAAAACATTCCCCAAACCACAAACACATTCAAAGAAAAATGATGAAAACACTGGCTCAAGGCATTTAAGAACAACCTCTAATCAATCATTAGCAGACCACTAAAATATATAGTGACCCAGGGACAACCCCTTGAAAGCTAAGCATTAAAAAATAATAATAATAGCCCTGGCCAGTTTGGCTCAGCAGTTAGAGCATCAGCCTGCAGTCCAGAGAGACCCAGGTTCGGTTCCTGCTAAGGGCATGTACCTCGGTTGCAGTTTGTCCCTGGCCCTGGTTGGGTTGTGCGGGTGGCAACCACCCAGTGTGTCCCTTTCATATTGATGTTTCTCTCTCTCTCCCTCCCACTCTATCTGAACAAAATATGGAAAAATATTCTCGGGTGAGGATAAATAATAATAATAGTAATAATAATAATAATAATGAAAGAAAGAAAAAAGCAGTAGCCTTCTATGAAGAGAAAATTTTCTTTAAATATTTTCTTTTGAAATTCCAAATTGTAGCCTTCTCTTCTACAGCCTTGTTGGGGGAGCCTTAGTCTCTAAACTACTTTTTTTGTTTTATTTTATTTTGCTGTCCTTTACTAAGTTTAATAAACTTTTAGAGTGGAAAAAAAAAGTTGAGCAGTGACTTCAGAAACAGATATTGAGAGGGAAACACATTCAAAAGAATTAGTTGAGATAAGTCATTACACAAACGAAAACAATAGCAAAGCAACAAGCCAGAGAGGGCTCAGAATCCATATATGCTGTAAGGACATCAATTACCTGTCTGATATATTACAAGAATTCCCAAATTAGCCCTGGCCAGTTTGGCTCAGTGGCTTGAGTGTCAGCCTGAGGACCAAAGAGTTACAGGTTTGATTCCAGTCAAGTGAACGTACCTTGGTTGCAGTTTGGTCCCGTGCCCTGGTCAGTGTCACGCGGGAGGCGACCAATTGATGTCTCTCTCTCACATCAATGTCTCTCTGTCTCTCTGTCTCTCTGTCTCTGTCTCTCTCTCTCTCTCTTCCCCTCCCACTCTATCTGATGATAAATAAAAAAATATCCTTGGTGAGGATAAAAAAAAAAAATTCCCAAATTAGTTTTCCAAGAAGAATCTTGCCCTTGAGTATTTTCTCAGCTGACTTCTCAGCTTGCCTTACCGGCTTGTACTGAACTGATGCTGCAGGGACAAATGCTAAAGAAATGTATCACTGTGGATACTATAAGGGTGTTGTTCATCACATTATATAGCAGCTTCCTGATGAGGACTAACAGGGGTAGAAATTGGTTTCATTATCAGGAGTCAAGGTGATTTCTCAGCAAATGGCATTTACCTAAGAAACACTAGCTCTTATAATTGGTATGCTTTAGATTGGCTTAGATTATTCCTCGGGCCCATTCAAAATACAAAATTTGTATTTCTATTAACTGTCTTCTTTTATATCCACCATTATACCTCATTCAATCTTTCAATTATTAGAAAGGGGGAAAATACAATGTTCAAATCATGGCAAAGATATCCACAAATCCTATGGTCATTCATTCACAAAATGTCATAGATATTTGGCATTTTAGGGTGACTATCTAGCACCTAAACTACCTTCCTATGTTTGAAGAATCCTCCACCTTACAAGACAGAATCACTTTCTGAAACTCAAGAAAGTGAGCACACCAGGCATTTATCTTCAAAACCTCCACTGCAACTGGAACAAGGGCATTATGATCTGGGTTTTGCTGCTCTGACAAACCAAGAAGAGGAAGCAAAGGTGGTGGCAGCAGCAACAAGAACCACAAGCAATCTATTCTGGTGAGGTTAAGGGCAACAGCAATGGCTAAGTAAACAGTTTGAATTCGTTCATTCTTCTTTAATCCATCCAGTTTTACAAGAAAGCACTGGCAGCATCTGTTGCCTCAAGTCATTGAGAGAATACGAATGGTGAATATACCACCTAACAGTGGTGCCTTCACTGTCCCGGGTCTGCGGTATGATTTAGAGCATTGTTCCTAACT